CTTTAATTTCTTTCATCAAGGTTTTTTAGTTTCCAGTGTACTAGTCTTTCACTTTGTTTATTCCTATTTATTTTTAATCCTATTTAAATGTGATTCTGTCTTTTGATAGCTTATTTTTAGTGTATAGAAACTTCACTAATTTTTGTATGCTAATTTTGTATGCTGCAACTTAATTTATTAACAAGCAGTATTTTTTGTGAAGTTGTTAGGATTTTCTACATAAAAGATCATATCATCTGTAAACAGAGATAATTTTCTTCTTTCTGATTTGGATGCGTTGTATTTCCTTAATTTCTTTAAAACTTCTAATACTATGTTGAATAGAAGTGACAGGAGTAAGCATCCTTGCCTTGTTCCTGATCTTAAAAAAAAGCTTTCAGTTTTTTTTATCATTGAGTGTGATGTTAGCCCTGAGATTTTTATATAAAGCCTTAATATGTTGAGTTATACTTTTTCTATACCCAGTTTGCTAAGAGTTTCTTTCTTTAATCACAGAGCATTAAATATTGTCAAATCCTGTTTCTGCAGCTATTGAGATGGTCAAGTGACTTGTATTCATTCAGTTAATGCGGTATCTCACATTTATTGATTTCTATGTGTTGAATCCTCCTTGCATCCCAATAATGAAGCCTACCTGGTCTTAGCATATAATTTTCATGTGGTTCTGAACTTGGTTTGATAGTATATTATTGAGGATTTTTGCATCTATATTCATCAAGGATATTGGTCCATATTTTTATTTGCTTTTAGTGTCTTTATATGGCTTTGGCATCAAGGCAATGCTGACCTCATAAAATGAGTTTGGAAATATTCTTTCATCTTCAGTTTTCTGGAAGAGTTTGAGAAGGATTGACATTATTTGTGCCAAATAAAATGTGCTTTGTATTAGTCTGTTTTCATGCTGTTAATAAAGACATACTTGAGACTGAGCAATTTACAAAAGAAAGAGGTTTAACTGGACTTAACAATTCCATGTGGCTGGGGAAGACTCATAATCACGGCAGAAGGCAAGGAGGAGCAAGTTATGTCTTAACATGGATGGTAGCAGGCAAAGAGAGAGCTTGTACAGGGAAACTCCACCTTATAAAGCTACAGATCTCATAAGACTTATTCACCTTCACAAGAATAGCATAGGAAAGACCTGCCCCCATGATTCAGTACCTTCCACCAGGTGTCTCCCACAACGTGTGGGAATTCAAGATGAGATTTGGGTGGAGACACAGTCAAACCATATAATGTATGCATAAAAGGGCTTCTTTGGTTCATGGATATCAGCACTGTTTCTAAGGATTTGCCATTTCTGCTTTTCAGATTTTACCTGGTGTCAAAATGAGAAATCTTTTTCTTAACTTCACCCAGCAATATGAATGTGCTTCCTAAATAATATAAAGCAGTTTCAAAGGACAGTATGTAAACATGCTCAGTATTACTTTTTAAAATCATACATTTTACAGCCTAAATAGCCAAAGTTATCCTAAGCAAAAAGAGCAAAGCCAGAGGTATCACATTACCTGACTTCAAACTATATTATAAGGCTACAGTAACCAAAACAGCATGGTCCTGGTACAAAAACAGATGCATAGGGCAATGGAACAGAGCAGAGAACCCAGAAATAAAGGTGCACACCTATTTTTGAACAGAGTTGACAAAAATAAGCAATGGAGAAAGAACTCCTTATTCAATAAATAGTGTTGGGATAACTGAGTAGCCATATGCAGAAGAATGAAACTGGACTCCTACCTCTTACCATATACAACAATTAATTAAAGATAGATTGCAGATTTAAATGTAAAACCCCAAACTATAAAAATCCTAGAAGAAAACCTAAGCAATATCATTCTGGCCATTAGCCTTGGAAAAGAATGTATGACTAAGTCCTGAAAAACAATTGTAACAAAAACAAAAATTGACAAATGGAAACTACTTAAACTAAAGAGCTTCTGCACAGCAAAAGAAACTATTGACAGAGTAAATAGACAACCTACAGAATGGGGAAAATATTTGCAAAATATAAATATAAAGAACTTAATAAGAAAAAACAACACAATTAAAAGTTAAAATGTTAAATGAGCAAAAGACATGAACGGACACTTATTTTTTTCCTCATACTATTGCCCAGGCTGGAGTGCAGTAGTGTGATCTTGGCTCACTGCAACCTCTGCTTCCCAGTTCAAGTGATTCTCCTGCCTCAGCCTCCCTGGTAGTTGGGGTTACAGGCATAAACCACCGTGCCCAGCTAATTTTTGTATTTTTTGTAGACGTGGTTTCATCATGTTGGCCAGGCTGCTCTTGAACTCCTGACCTCAAGTGATCCACCTGCCTCACCTCTCAAAGTGCTGGGATTACAGGCATGAGCCACTGCACCCAGCCATAAACAGACACTTTTGAAAAGAAGACATACTATTGGCTAAAAACCATGATTGCTCAACATGACTAATTGATATGGTTTGGCTGCGTCCTCGGCCAAAACCATCTTGAATTGTAACTCTCCACAATTCCCACATGTTGTAGGAGGAACTAGTGGGAGGTGATTGAATTATGGGAACATATTAATGACCTAAGTTGTATGTGATATCTTTCTATGATCTTATTAAAGTCTGTGTGAATATTAAGGATGTCATCACTTTTCATTCTTCATATTGGTCGGTTGAGTAGTCATTTTTCCAGAGGTTTATTAGTTTTACTAATTGTTTTCAAAAATTGATATATAATAGTTGTAAATATTTTAGGGGTACATGTGGCATTTCATTACCTGTATACTAATCCTTTTAAAGAACCAGACTCTGACTATTCTTCTTGTTATACATTTGGGCTTTAAAAAATAATTTCTGTTCTTATTTTTCTTATTTTCTTCATATATTTTATTTTGTTTAAATGTGTTATCTTTTTTGTAAATTTCTCAATTGAATAATATATCAGAAGAAATCAGAACTTATCATTTTGTAACGTATTACCTATTAGAAGCATGAACTAAAAAGCATTGCTTTTCAACCAGCACACAAATTTTTATATTTGGCACCTTCATTATTAGTCAAATTAGAATATTTTATGATTTATTTTGTATTTTTTAGACATGTGGGTCATTTAGAAATACAGTTATTAATATCCAAATATAGAATCTATTTTCTATTTATATTTTGTTGATTATTGGTTCAATTTCAATGTAGAGTCAATATATTCTGAATTATTTCAACCTTTCAAACATATGGGGACATGCTTTAAGTTCAGTATGTCATGAATTTTCATATACTGCACACTCTAAAAAGTGGAGTAAATACTCCTACAATTACTTAGTTTTAAGATCATAAAAGATACTGCTTATGAACATTATACTGATTTATCTATATTGTAATCGAACACTGAAATGTTCAACAAATCTTCTGGATACTTCTCTACAGATGTCAAGATTCAACTATATTTACATTTTAATGTGGTTAACAGAATTTTGTCATATTTCTATGACAAAGTAGAGTATCTTTACATATATCAATTATGTTAGTAGTATTAATAGTGAATAAATATCTTTACTGGGGTCTTTTCCCTCATCGATTCAACCAATTGCCTATCCGCCCTCCAGAGGTCATATATATTAATGCACTTTCTAATCTTTTATGTAGGGCATGAACTTCATTGTCTGGTCATGCAGGTATGACTGTTCAATTGTACAATTGTACAATTTTCTTTAGTGACTGCCTGAACATTTTGGAGGAGGAAAGGAACATGTAAAATTACGAGTATTTGGTTTTTAAAAAATGAAAATCACTCATTCTCCAAGCACCAAAATTCCAGTTAATTCTGTCCTCAGTATGCAGATCTGAGTGTATGAATGGTACATCCTCTGAGGATGAACCTCACTGCAACCCTTCCTGAAGAGGAAGGAGAAAATGGGACTTCATTGTTTTCATTTCACATTCTGCCCATGCCCTGTCTTCTTTTGGTCATTTTTCCCTCTTCTGGAATTGGAGCTCCTTCTTTTCTTATGAATGCATTTAAGGCTATAAATTTTGCCTCTAAGCATGACTTTAAGTGCAACCTAAGTGTTTTAACATGTTATATGCTCACTGCTGTTCAGTTGAAAATATTTTCTGGTTTGCTTTGTGATTCCTTCTACCACCTACAGGTTATTTAGATTACTTAATGTCATCATTTTTCTCCTGAGCACTCACCACATTAACTATTTTCTGTCTTTTAATCATTTACTTCATGTATTTAACCAGTTTCTATCCTTGTTCTGAATAACAATATTAGCTTGAAATAAGTTATTTCATCTGGCTATAAATTGGAAATTAAGCATGTTTTATATGTATAAAATATGGCAATATGACAAAATTCTGTGAACCACATTAAAGTATAAATGTAGTTGATTTTTTGACATCTGTAGACATATTTGTTGAAAATTTCAGTGTTTGATTACAATATAGATAAATCAATATAATGTTTATAAGCAGCATCTTTTATGATCTTAAAACTAAGTGGTTGTGGGAGTATTTACATCTCTTTTTCATATTCATATTGAAATGTAAAGGCATTTTTAAGTAAATTTCTCATTATCAAGTTATTCACTCAGGGTGATCAGATGTCTATTCAAAACAGCCAACAAAGAGCTAAAGGAGTCCTGTTCCAGCCAGAATCCTACCATTACCACAAGTGATGAAGGCACAAAAAAATCCTCAACAAAAGTATTCTATAACTAAACTCCTATACTAAGAGTTGGGAGAAAACTGGCTCTCTAAATTTTAAGATAAAAATCAGCTTGCCTATCAATATGAGGCAATAAATATTCATTCACTAGCTCTCATGTGCCAGTAATTTCCAGGGAACCTATAGAAATCTTACTGCTGTACAGATAAGAGAGACTGACACAAAGACTTCAATCACAGGATTCTCTGGGTGGTTCTAAAACAGAAGAGACGCTTTATAAGTATTTTAAAGATAAGGCCTTATTCCAATCACTTTATACGAATTAATAAATTATTATAAATTAATCATTTAATACTTACAGCAAACCTGTGAACTAGTCGCTACAATCCTTGCTGTTATTATTCCCGTTGTCAGATGAGATAAAAGGTGGTAACTAATTTGTGAGAGGGGAAAGCCTCAGATGGTGAGTGGTGAATTCAGGATTTAAACCCACAATGCCCGATCTGGACACTTCTGTTTAATCTCCGCAGCCCTCGCAGCTGCCGGCGCCGGCGCTGGCGCTGCACCCAGACCTGCTCTGCGCGCTCAGCCCCACCGGGTCCCAGACCCCGCCGGCAGCGCCTATTAGAGCTGAAGGATAGGAGCGTGCTGAGAAGAATAATGCTTTGAGACAATTGTGTGTTCTTTAAATACGGGCACGTTAATCACTCGGGGCTGCGCAGCGCATGCCTGAGCTGTTTGAATGAAAAACTGCAGGACTTTGCAGCTTCTTTCTCTCCATCGCTGTAGTCCGCTTCTGAACTTGTCTCCTTCCTCTTGGGATATCCTTAGGCTGCCGGGACTTCACCTCAGCTCTGCCATCACCCAGCCCTCCACTCATTCCACTCGGAACCCCAAATGCTGACCGGCCAGGGAATCCCATGCTATCCTGCAGACCGGTGTGTGCCCAAGAAAATCAGGTCCCAGCCCCTCAGGCTCTCAGTATCTTGTTAGAAAAGAGTGCACAGCTGAGCCACATAGCTAGACATATGACCAGATGTGTGTTTTCCCGGACCATGTAAAAATAATATTGATGCATATATATATATATTTCAGGGCAGGAATATGGGCAAAGGCAGTCAGAGAATATTATCTCTGAAGACATTTGGATAGGATGGGAAATAGTTTATTTCTCTCAAGAGGCACTGCCCAATATTTCCAGTTATTCAATTTCTTATGATATTTAAAATCATGGGACACAATATTGGTTTATAAAAGTTTATATGAAATATTGTCATAATAGGATGAAAAGATAAAGTCACTCTGAGACTGTAAGACATGAACACGAATGGGGTAGCCACACAGGTGGGCATCTGAAAGCAAATACTGCCTGGCACCAGCTGCATAGCATTGGGCAGGTAAGGAAATATTCTCCTTCTCAGTGCTCTTGTGTTAGGAGATGAGATGGTCAAATGCTATATAGAACTTCACCCTAATACAGTAACTACTTGCCTCATGTGGCTATATAAATTAAATTTATAATTTAAAAAAACAGGCATTCATTTCCTCAGTCACTCTACCCTCAAGTGCCCAAGAACCCCATAGGGCTAGTAGCTATCATATTGTACAGAAAAAAAAAAAAATATATATATATATATATATACACACACACACATATATATAATTTTTCAAAGAAAATTCTTCTGGACAGTGCTGGTGTATAAAGAGAGGGTCAAATATTATTTAGAGTGCTGTGAAATTATCACAATTAGGCAAATAATAGGTTCATATTCAGGATTCTTAAGTTTGTGAATTTGTAGAGAACTTGGTGTATAAGCCTGAGAGCTGTGCTGCAAGTCTTTTTCTTGTCAAAAATCACTGGGGCTGTCAAACAAATCCTGATAAAGTTTATTTCAGAAAGTTCAAGTGAGGTAGGTTTTGGGAAAGCTTGCATGCAAAATATAAAAGTAACTATGGAAAGGAGAAAAAGACAAAGTGAACATTTCTTACATTCATGATGAATAATTGGCACCATTTTCAAATAATTATCAAATCAGGAAAAGAATACTTTTTCAAAACATTGAGCTTTCTACTACCTATGAAGTATCCCACAATTTATTTAGGTCTTCTGAAGTTAAAAGTTAAAATGTTTTTAGTTTCATTGTACAACCTTAATTAATTTTATTCCTAGGTTAGTTAACTTTTGATGTTGTTATGAATATTATTAATTTTAAATGTTTACTTCAAATGTTATTGATGGTAGAGAAATAAAAATGATTTTCATATACTGTACTCCTGTCCAGTGTCCTTGCTAAATGTACACATTAATTCTAATAGCTTACCTGCAAATTATTCCCAATTTTCTCTTGCATTCCATCAATAATTTTTTTCCAGTTATAAAATCTTTTATTTCTTTGCTATTACACTAGCCATGACTTGTAACAACAAATACAGACATGTTATTTCAGAGGGAAAGTTTTAGAAAACTTTATTTAGATAATTATCTAAATCACAAATGTAATTTAACAGATGCATAGTCATATTTATTCTGCTCCTGTCATTTTTGCTAACAGATGTTTCCAGCAATATGACTGTCATGTTAATTTTCAAGTTTAATGTCCTAACTTTGTTCTTGATATTCTCTAATGATTTTTAATGTCTGTTATTAATGTAGTGATAACATTTGAAATTTCTGATCTTGGGTATTTGAGCTTTTTTCATTTCTCCTTGATAAGTTTCACTGGAAATTATATGGCTTCAATAAGCATTTAAAGGATTTTACTTAATTTACTTCCCTTATTTCATATTTGTTTTTCTTCATGGCTTTTCTTGCCTTTATTATTTGCTTCATTCTGCCTTTGCTTTTACCTAGTTAATTATAATTTAATTTGTTGATTTGGGTGATTATAAATATTCAGATAATTTTATAAATTTTATAAAATTGATATATAATTCAGATAATTTTATAAATTTTATATTTATAAATTTTATAAATTTATATTTATAAAATTTATAAATTTTATTACTTTTATAAAATTATCTGAATATTTTTATAAATTTAGGCAGCAAAATTTCCTCATAGAAAATTATAGAAAAAAAATCCAATAATATATGATATATCATGAAACAGAGGGCTTATTATCAGAAACAAATTGGTTAAATATTTGAAACCCGTAGCTGCAAATAATCACATTAAGAGAATAAAGGGGAAAACAAGATTATCTCAAAAAAATGTATAAAACGACAGAATTCAGTATGCAGTCATAATAGGTACTCTCAGCAAAGAAGGAATACAAAAAATGATTAATCTACTAACGTATACCTGCAAAAATGACAAAACACTCACACATGGAAATTAAAAACCATTCCCTTGTGGATAATATGGCATAGGATATGTTATAAAAGGCTGTCCTGCCACAACACAGCACAGATGGGGCTGAAAGAAAGGAAGGGAAACAAAGGGCTGCCGTGAATATAGAAGCAGAGAAGACAAAAGCCTGGGTCATGCAGGGGACAGTGCCTTATTAAGCCAGCATCGGGACTGGTTGAAGTCCCAGGCTTCTTCACAGTGGGAAAATGACCATAGTAATCACAATAAAGAAAGACATCTGAAAGGTGCTCACTTAGCCTCGGATCAGAAGTGCTCTCTGCTAATGACTTGCTGGTGAAAAGCGTATCCAATGTAAGCCCTCAGAAAACCCAGAAAACAAAGACCAAGCGAAACGACGCCTTCTCAATAGAATAAATCGAAAAAAAATTTCCAGCAGTGACAGTCAGGGTATTAAAAGAAAAAACGCCACAGGCATAAGACGGAGTGAAACCAAAAGGAATTTATATAATTCACGTACGAAATGTTTCAGAATCTACAGAATTACAATTTAAAGCAGACAGATACGAAAATACAATGAAAGCGTGCATGACCGAAACGAGAAGAGATTAAAACCTCATTCTCTTGAGGAAATGGTGTGAGAAGGGTATTAGGGACTGCCGAAACACGGCGAAACAAAGGCAGAAGGCAGACAAAAGGGGCTGGGCTGGTCCCCGCCTGTGTGAACAAAAAAGATGTCAGATTGCAAAATTGCCGCAAAAATCAGGCAGCGCGCGGAGGTTGCTCTGACAGGAAGTGTCCGCCATGCTGCCTGTGCCCGGAAGTAGGTAGGAACACATAGTCACAGGGAGCCAAGAGCAGGGGGGACCAAAAAAAGATGCACACTTCCCCCAGAGAAGTCTCGATCGTCGCCGCCGCTCCGGGCCTCAAGGCCGTAAAGAAAAAATACCGGAGACGTTCTGGCACTATTTCGGGGTAAAGAAGCTGCCATGGAAGAGCCTGCAGCTCCCTCAGAGGCCCTCGAGGCAGCCGGGGCCCAGGCAGGTGCTGAGGCAGCAGGGGAGGGTGTGTCTGGGCCTGACCTTCCCGTGTGCGAGCCCTCCGGGCAATCTGCTGCTCCAGATTCGGCCCTGCCACATGTGACTGTGGGCTGGGCCCCCTTCCCTGTAGCCCCAGTCCCTGCCCACCTCCGCACAGGAGGCCTGAGGCCTGCACCAGCCTCTGGAGGAGGAGCCTGGCCCAGGCCCTTGCCAAGCCGAAGCAGTGGCATTTGGACAAAGCAGATCATCTGCAGGTATTATATACATGGGCAGTGCAAGGAGGGGGAGAACTGTCGCTATTCCCACGACCTTTCTGGTCGGAAGATGGCCACTGAGGGCCGCGTTTCGCCGCCTGGGGCCTCTGCAAGTGGAGGCCCTAGCACGGCTGCGCACATCGAGCCCCTGACTCAGGAAGTGGCGGAAGCCCCCCCGGCTGCATCCTCCCAGTCCTTGCCTGTGATTGGCTCGGCTGCTGAAAGGGGTTTCTTTGAAGCTGAGAGAGACAATGCAGATCGTGGAGCTGCTGGAGAAGCAGGTGTAGAAAGCTGGGCGGATGCCATTGAGTTTGTTCCAGGGCAGCCCTACCGGGGCCGCCGGGTTACATCTGCCCCCGAGGCTCCTCTACAGAGCTCGGAGACTGAGAGGAAGCAGATGGCTGTGGGCAGGGGGGAGCGGTTTTGCTATTATGCTTCCAGGGGAGTTTGCTTTCGTGGGGAGAGCTGTATGTACCTCCATGGAGACATATGCGACATGTGTGGGCTGCAGGCCTTGCACCCCATGGATGCTGCCCAAAGGGAAGACCATATAAGGGCCTGCATTGAAGCACACGAGAAAGATATGGAACTCTCGTTTGCTGTGCAGCGTGGTATGGACAAGGTGTGTGGCATCTGCATGGAGGTTGTCTATGAGAAAGCCAACCCCAATGACCGCCGGTTTGGCATTCTTTCCAATTGCAACCATACCTTCTGTATTAGGTGTATCCGCAGGTGGAGAAGTGCCAGACAGTTTGATAACAGGATCATCAAGTCTTGTCCACAGTGCAGGGTCACCTCCGACTTGGTCATTCCCAGTGAGTTCTGGGTGGAGGAGGAGGAAGAGAAGCAGAAACTTATTCAGCAATACAAAGAGGCAATGAGCAACAAGGCCTGCAGGTATTTTGCGGAAGGCAGGGGTAACTGCCCATTTGGAGACGCATGCTTTTACAAGCATGAATACCCTGAGGG